GTGTGTAATTAAGCAGGTTCAGGTAGGATCCAGCAATCTGCATTTTCTCAAGGGCCCTGTGGAAGCACCAAATGTCAGCGTAGGCCTGACTAACAGTTCCCACCTGTGCATAGCACTACTCCCAGAGCCCTCCAGGTTCCCTTCAGCGATGCAGGGGCTTTGCTTTGTGGTCGTAACAGAGCAGCATGCTCCAAGTAGTGTAGAAGAAACAAGGTAATATGCCTGTGAGCTGCGTGAGGAGGCGTCTGATTATTCCTGAGAGAAGGATGCTATTATCTGGAGAACATCAGCTACAAAGGCAGCTGGCACCCTCACTTCTTTTATTATTGAACCTCCTTCCTCAGCCTCACTGTACACACACCATAAAGTCCTTGCACTTTATCCCACAGAGATTCTCCACCCCAGAGCCTTGTAACTTTTTAGTTTGAATGCTAATAAGCTTGGTTATCTAGATTCCTAACTCACGGCAAATTAACATCAGCAAATTAAAAGTAAAGGAGGGCTCAGAGGGAAGGTGGGGATGGGTGGGTGGGAAGAGATTAACCAAAGAACGTATATGCATCGCCCATGGACACAGACAATAGTGTGGTGAAGGCCTGGGGTAAGGGGCAGGGGCAGGCTAGAAGGGGTCAATGGGGGAAGGGGAGAACATATGTAATCTTTCAACATAAAGTTGTTGTTTTTTAAGTAAAGGAGGGGAGCCCATTGACAGCAGTAAGAAATTACCACTCACCACTGACAGCTGGCATCTTCTCAATCGCTCAGTAATAATGTTAACAGTTAAAATGTATTGGGCATTTACATAGTTCAGGTATATGTTAAGCTATATTTAATCTTCTCAACTCTCTATATATTGTGGGGTATATATATATGTATATATATATGTGTGTGTGTGTGTGTGTGTGTGTGTGTGTATATATATATATATATATGTATATATATTTTCCCTCCAAAATGTATACACACTTAACAGCTGATAGCTCAATTGATATTTCTCTCTTTTCAGATTTACCCATTGGAATTAATTGTTCAAAGTGTGTATACAGTTTTTGGGGGGCATCCTATTTTACAGAGAAGTAAATGGGGGCTGAGAGAGGATAAATAGTAACTTTTCCAAGGTCCCACAGTTAACTCAAATCTGTTCAAGTCTGTTCTGACTCAGAGACCTCAACAAGAAAAGTATAAAAAGCAGAAAGGGACCTCAAGGCATATAGCCCTACCAATGCAAGGATCACAACTCAGTGTGATTCAGGTGCCCATAGTGATTGGCATGAGGCAAGGAATGGCTATGCTAGCAGTTAGGCTTTCTATAAGAGACAGTGGAGCCAATGTTATATATGTTAAAGGCTTCTGTCTTAAATTAGCCACAAATATTTGTGTTAGAATAAAGCGTCATATATGTACATGCTCTTATTCCCCGAGAATTCCTGATTTCTAAGCATATTCAAGGTAAAGTGCATAAGTTTTTCCCATGCTGTCATGGCCAAAGATACTTCCTCACTAGCTCTTAATCTCATGGTTATTTGCATTATTTTAGCTACAGGAGCTAAGACCCCTGAAGCAGGAGAAAGTTTTTATTCTGGACCTGTTCAGGACAAGAAATATTGCCACAATAACCATTATGTCTATACTGCTATGGTAAGTAATAAGTGATCTGGAAGTGTGATATACAGCACATAAGTATACGACTAATTTTCTTTAATTCAGGGGAACATCAGGACAAGGCCTGGGTCTTCATGAGACAAAATAAAAATTATCTATATATATAAAAGGCTAATATGCTAAGTGTCTGACTGTCCAACTGGTCACAATGACATGCACTGACCACCAGGGGGCAGATGCTCAATGCAGGAGCTGCTGTGATGCACACTGGCCATTTACAGAGAAACAGCACCACAGACCTGGACCCCACAAAGCAACACTTGGCTTCCCCCAAGTGGGACACAGGCCCCGCCACCACTCTGGAGTGACACCCCACTAAATCGCAGCAGACCCCATGGCACAAAATGCGGACCCCAGCCCAGCCCAGCCCAGAAATGGTGGCTGTGGGCACTGGGTAATGACGTCACATAGAAACGCCCAGCTTCCTTTATCTAGCAACTAGCCTCCTTGCAGTTTCTTCAGCCCATCAGGTGTAAACATTTTATTCTTTAAATGTCTGTGAAGCATTTTCCTATGCTTCATCTAATTTTATCCTCACAGAGCAGAAGTCTGGAGTAGGTAGATGGGAGACTTGGTCAAATCCTATTTTCTTTTCATTAGTCAGAAAACGTAGATTTAGAAAGCTTAGAAACTTGACCTGACTGAAAAGAAGTAAAAAATGGTGGAGCTTGAAAATGACTTCAGGTTTTCTCACTGCGTAGAATATAGTCAAACACGCTGCAGTCAAATATTTTATCTTTTGTTCTCCCTGCATGATCTATAATAATAATCTGCTTCGTGTTGATATTTACTGCTGTGTTGCTGACACCTGAAAGAGAAGTTGGGGTGCTTCACTGGGCTGGAAAAATTTAAATCAAAAAGGAGGTCTAATTAAGCAAGTTTATTCTATATATATAAGAGGCTAAGTTGACTCACCTGTGCAGCGATACATATAAAGCTCTCACTGGCACCAATCGCACGTCTGTGTTTCGATCTGTTGTTGATCGTGAATTTCATTGACACTTCTATTATAGAGAAAGGGTGAATGGCAATATTAAAATATTTCTTCTAATTTCCTTTCAATGTGCACGAATTCGTGCACTGGGCCACTAGTAAAATTTTAAGTTATTTGGAGATGCCTCAATTCAATTCATGGAACTGAATACTAAAAAAATAAGTCACAGGAAACAATAAAGTCTACTGCACTGTGGCCCACAGGGAAAGGGTCCCCTCCATTGGGATTAAGGCTAATGATGTCCTTGGTGCCTGAAGCCAAGATTCTAATTCAGCTCCTACTTCCTGAAGCTATACTGACAGTTGAACAGGGAGATTAGAATAACCTGAACCCCCAACTGCCTAGATTGGAGTTTGTTTTTGTTTTTAAATAATCCTCACTGGAGTATATGTTTATTGATTTTAGAGAGAGGGTGATGGAGTGGTGTGGAGAGAAACTTATGGGCCCTGACTGGAGATTGAATCTGCAACCTAAGTACACGTCCTGACTGGGTATTGAACCCAAAACCTTTTGGTGTACAGGACAATGTGCCAACCAACTGAGCCACCTGGCAAGGGCCCACATTAAGGTTTTGACAAGCTTTTCATACCTGCCAATTGCAAACTACCAAGTGATTTTTTAAAAATTCTTTTATATATATATATATATATATATGTTTTTTATTGACTTCAAAGAGGAAGGGAGGGGGCGAGAGAGACAAAAACATTCATAATGAGAGAGAATCATTGATTGGCTGCTTCCTGCACGCCCCACACTGGGGATCAAGCGCACAACCCGGGCCTGTGCCCTGACCAGGAATTAAACCATGACCTCCTGGTTCATAGGTTGACGCTCAACCACTGGCCACGCCTGAGCCACACCGGCAGGCTACCGAGAGATTTTAAGGCATCGAAATAATGAATTGACTTTGTAGACTAGTTTTA